TTCGAAAATTTCCATGTAATGGGTCCCGAAACATTCGCCGAATTAAGCCACTCGCCATAAAAATAGTCGGATCTTTTCAAATTTTCAACATACGGAAGGTCGGAAACTTGAATACCGCGTGTAGTGTTTTTTGAGATTAATTTAATTCAGTGCTTGAATCAGGGATGTGCAATTCAGATGCCGCGACCTTCGAATATCGTTTTTTCGAGTTTATAAGCGCACATATCCAAGCGGTCCACGTTCCAATTAAAAACATTCTACAATTACTTCATTTTTTTATCGCAATCGAAGGCAGCCGTGTACGCACGGCAATAAATTACAGCCACAAGGAAAGATTTAAATTAGCGCTGACTTGAATTGCTTATAACACGTCAAGGATGTTTTTGTTCGAAAATATTTTACGAATAATATACGAAATTATTATCGTATATTTACATTTAGTCGAGTTAGTTTGTGCGGCCTCGACAATAACTCTAAAAGCAAATTGTGTCGCAATTAATCGTTTTCATCCTCAATTTCGATAGTGACCGGACATTACGGAAAAGTTTTCATTTCTTGCAATTTAGACCGTGTGGAATAGCTCTTAAATATTATTTAGTATCAATTGCGAGTTTCATCGTTTTCCCGACGTCGTTGATGGCAATCAAAAATGAAATCATAATTGCTGACATGACGGATATCATTGACGGATAGAATCAGGTTCACTTATTTGATGGCGCCCCAGAAGTATGTGCACCAAGATGGCGGGTACCCGAACGTAGTATGTGTACCAGGTTAGAGTTAGGCCACAATTTTATTCCAAATTGTCCTCATTTTGGTTCTAATATGAGTTCCGGGATTAGTCAAGTGACTCCCGTAGTATTTGTACCTAAATTCATGGCCCAACCCTAACCTGGTACACATACTACGTTTCGATGTCCGCCATCTTTGTTCAAAATTTTATATTTATTTTTTATTGCATCATTGTCTTCTCACTGAATTTCGCTAGCAACACATTGTATAAACCCGCGGGAAACAAACGTGCCAGATATTTTTTTGGCGAGTCGCACAGGGTTGCAAGGTTGCACACCCCTGTCATAAAAGATATATCGCAGGCATAGTGAAGGAATTCAGTGACTATGTGGTATAGTTCACAAGGGCAAATTTACCAACTGAAAAAGAGCCCTTAATTTGTCCACCGTCTGAAGAAACTAAAGGTATTTTTCGTTTCATTTTATATATTTTAAAATACGGAACAAAACAACTTATTGAAACAAAATGCTTGCAATGATATTCTGAAATGCGGTAAGTTTGCAGCGGGAAATTAAGCAAGCTAAATAACGGCGTGAAGGTGCTCAGAGACCAACGTTACGGATCACACTAAATTAGATCGGTTAATATAATAAAATGCAATCGCACGCCATTCAGGCATTTCCACAATTTTTACAAATCGATCAGAAACCACCCTCTAGTCGCATATACCACTTTGGATTCAATATACGATGTCACGAACATGTTCGCATTTGTGGCTAATTATAAATTTGTCCGAATACTGCATATAATTTTTATTTCGTTATTGTATATGAATACGGCCGTATAAACATATTTACCATTAAATTTCCTGGTATATTACCCCATTTCACGAGATTTCAGACCTTAATTCCACGCGGCTCCGTCATGAGAAAAGCATTGTTTAAGCGCTCCAGAATATGATTTTACAGAAGGTCTGTGACGATACAATGAGTTTTCTATCAATTGTAAGTCATCAATGGTAAAGTACGGTGCTTGCAATCTTGTTGTTATGTAATATCTATGGGTGATCACTGCCATAGACAGGTAGAAAATAGAATCCACTACAAACCATTCAACTGTATTCAGAATTCAGGTGATCACTGCCGATTCTTATGGCGACGGTATCACCATCAGGGGCGATAGAGATACCCAGAGATGTTTTTGAACGAGTTCGCCGATTTAGCTTCAGGGAAATATTTTCGTTACCGTATTTTAACAGATACCGGTACCGGTAGGCCTACTGTCCAAATTATCAACTTGGCAAGCGAATTTGTTAGAAAAATATTTTATATCTGACAAAGCAGATGAATGCTAAAAGGAATATAACACACAAGAGCTGTCAGCTTCCTTTTTTGTACCGGTACCAGGAAAAGAAAAGTTATCATCAAGTAATTAATTCCATGCTGACTCTTGATATTTGGTCACAAGATTGAAGGTATAATATTTTAATAGTTCTCATTAAAATATATAAAATATTTGTTACTGCAAGAAGGTTTACAACTTGCAGACATGGGTTGTGGTACAGAATATTATGGAAATACCGGTACCGTAAAACCGGCTAACTTCGGATGATTTCACTATATTTTGAACAATATCTCCGCCGCATGTTGTTCAACTGAAGCCAAATTTGGAATATAATACATTGTGGCTATTCTCGTCTTGATAAAGTCGGTTCCATATCCATCAAAGCCTTTTTTCATTGAAATTATTGTCTTTATTCGTCTATTCTAAAATTATCTAACTTCGGATGGCCACTTTTCTCTTTGCGTCAACTCGTCGTGAGAGAGAAATGTCTGCGTAAGCAATGACGCGTGACAACGTCGCTGAATAGACCTTACGCCGCCACGACCTGTCTTGCGTGTTGAATACTGACGTTTGTACGTGGCGTTACTCTTGCCGCTTCGCGAAGCTTAACTATTTATTCTTGTGTCCATTATTATAACTCGTATATATTTCACTAACTACTCCTAATTTATTGCAAAATGCTAGTTCGTTCTTTTATGATCGTTCATTTTCAATGCAAGAAAAGGATTAACAAAAAAAAAAAAACGGAAGAATTGAAAGTACCTAACACTGGTGTAGGTTGAAATTGAAATGCAATATTGAACAAGTAAAGAATGAACAAAAATTAGACAATTAAAAATAAACGGATGAATCGAATGAAACACTGGCAAAAGTAAAAATTGAAATCAAAAAGCAATATGGAACAAGTAAGGTATGAACAAAAATTCGACAGTTAAAAATAAACAGATGAATTGAAGGAAACGCTGGCAAAATCAAGAATTGTAATCATTTCCACATGGGTTAGACGGGTCTTTGCAACAGTTCTTGTGGAACCAATGTGTTTCGCTGCAGCTTTCGCAACCGACCCATTCATCCTCAATTTCCGTACTTCCATTTGGATCATTCCATAATCCACAAGCAGAGCAGGTTTCGTCTTGATTATCACTTTTCATATTTTCTGATTTTCTCAGAGCTCCCCGTTGATCGGCTCGGCAGAGGTTCCTGCCCGGTGTGACTTTCGATCCTCGCTTTCGTTTCACTTAATAAAGTCAAATGACAATAAACGGATAAAAACGGCAAAAAGAAACTTTGCCACTTTTTTTCATTTTGCGCCTCACCTGTATGTGGTCCAACCTCCTGCTGTGTGCATGTATGAAGAGTTCTACGCTCACCTGTTAAAGATATTATTATCATCTGCCGATCGTAAACAGACATATTTAATCATTATGATCGTATAGATACAGGTTTCAGGCCTAACGTATTACCAATTGCTACGGTATCTATCGGTGTCGGAGGAAGTATGCAAAAACAAAAATCGACAAATTTCATATGCATTAAGCGTATGCATACCCATATTTTTAAATAAACAACATATGACTGAGACGATAGTGATGTTTTTGTAGGATTTAGTGACTAGGATCATGGATAAGCATAATTTTTAAATTTCACAAAACTGGGCGCCGCGATGTCTGGCGTTCAAATGTCGCAGCGAGTAACGCACGAGCTACGCAAAGTGACGTCGGCTACGAAGAGAGAGAACGGGATTTGCGTCGTTGACGTCACGCTGTACGTAATCATCAAAAAGTCGATATTTTGATGTAATTTTTAAATCAAAATAATCGATTTCACTCGAATCTCGTACGACACCTTGTGATCACTGTATTTTTTTGTATACATTGTGTACGCTCTCTAGCGCTTGGCGGTGATTTGACGAAGGTAGCGTCTGTAGAAGTCACGATTTGAGCCGCTCGAAAAAACGGTGTCATTTTTTTGGTAAAATATGATTTTTTGAATGATAAAAAATCAAATCGAGCGATTGGAGGCTACGGCAGATTCAGATATGTAAGGCCTTACTATAGAAACCGACAGAAGCGCAATACGACGAAATTTAGTTGAGATATGAATGATTGAAAATTTCATCCGAAGTTACAAGGCATCCGAAGTTAGCCGGTTTTACGGTACAGTTTGTTTTTCGCCAAACCTAAAGAACAATTTTTATTGAATTGTATGCCAATCGGAATCCCATGGCCTGGTTTTGGGTAGTATGGATCAAATGTGCATGAAATGTAAAACTTGTACGGTACTTGAAGACTTGTCGTAATTTAATGTTGATACTGTAATAAAATCAATATTTTATTTCAATGCCCCCTGATTTGTATCAATTAAAGTGACTGTGTCGGGAGTTTGAAAACAAGAAGTTCTAGATACAGAGATATTATTTGTTATCATTATTCTCTCCATTCCAGGACTATGGAGGTTTCCCAAACTGCTTTCAACTCAGCCTGGAGCACATATCAAAAAAATTCGATTGAAATGAATAAAGCTGCTGGACAAAGACTCTAGTCTCGGGTATGAAAGATGTTTTATATCAAGATTTCTAACTCTTGTTTTCACTCTTAGTATTTGTGACCTTCCAAGACAAACACTTGAAACTAAATAATTAATGCAATGAAAATAAAATTTAAATGGTTCAAAGAAATTTGTCCAAAATGTTCTGGCTGAAACAACTAAATCAATCCAAACAATATGTAATGAGCTACTACTGTTTGAAGAACTGGAATCTTTCTTACTTGGCAATCTTGTCATTGGTAATGCTGGAGGTTTGACAATAATTATTCAAACAAAACAATTTAGCCACCTGGTGGCGCTAAAGGTTCAAGTTATTTCAAAACAAAAAAGGTGGCAGTTTTATCTTAAAAGACATGAATTATCTTTCCATGTTTCAGATCCACGAGATGGCTGATGTGATGAGGCATTCTGCGGATGTTGATGATGAGCAATATTTCAGAGATTACGAAGAATTATTCCGATGGCAAACAGAAAATGACATTTTAAGAGAAATGCTGATGATATCTAAGAGTTCATTTGGATCAAGACTTATAACCACTGAACAGCAAGATTCTGGAAAGGCTGAAAAACCAGAGAATGAATCTAAAATGGTGCTCACTGACGATACTACTAGTGATAAGACAGTTATACATGAGGGGGAATCCCCCTAAGACTACTCCCCAGACAATTATTACATTACAATATGGAGGAAGTTTATTTGCTTCGAAGGGTACTTATGTATTATGTGTGCCAGGTTTCGATTTTCTATATCATAGTTCTATTACGAGTTCGGGACGTCTGTGTTAGCCAAGTGAATATACTCCCTGCCCGTAGGTTCCGGTCCCTTTACACAACTTGATGTAAAGTAGACGAAAAAAATTAGTTACCTCCATATTGGTACACATACTTCCGGAGTGCCCCTTACTCTTGTTATTCCTTGTGTTTCTATCGAAACTCAGTACTGAGAAAATATATGTGGTTCATACAAAGTACTCTGCACACTTTTGAAGTTTCCTTTTATAAAATCAGTTTTATAGATTTAAAAATATATATGAAAAGAACTATAACGCCATAACAAACAATCTTGATTAGCTTATAATCATTAGTCGGCCGAGGAATCGTGTGCTTGAGGATGCCGAAATATAATGTGTGGAAAGTCCGGACCCAAATATTTTTGAAGTTTTGTATGCGGACCTCCGGTAAAAATAGTTGAGTAGCCCTGGTCTATTTTATTATTAATACACGGATATAATAAGTGTGTTTCATGAGAGACTTTCATTTTCTCTACATTAAGAGGTAAGATCAATTCCGGCCCGACCCGAGCCTGACTAATTAATTGGATTTGCAGGCCCGAGCCTGAAGCAAACCCGAAATTTCATATTTTAATCAGGAGATCTCTGAATTGTCATTGCAAGAGTGTCGTGTTGATGAGGCAACTTCTGTTTTTGGCAGACCACGGTCTCTCGTGGCCAAAACGCCCAATTTAAAAAAAAGTCAGCGATAGAACAGCCAGGCCCGGCTCGGATCTTAGCTCTACTATACATCAAATTTCCGTTTCACATTTTTTTGATTTGCATATTATAATGTATATTCAGTTACACAGGGGTTCTTAAGCCTTGGAAATGTTTATTGGGGTTCCGCTCCTCCATAAAGGTTGAAAAATCTTTGCTCTAGACAAGAAGAACTCGAAAGAGGTTCTGGTTGTCACTCAAATGAACACATTATTTCCAATGTCAATTCTGATGTTTCCAAATTCCACAACTTGAGCATTTGATGATACATGATTTCCCTGTACAGTGCAGTCTGCACTTACTTGGGGCAATGGTTTAGTACAAATTCGCACTGGTGTAGTTTTCAAAATGAATATCGAACTGAATAGAACATTCATAAAAAAAAAGAAATACTAAGTTGAAATATTTGCACATCTGTGACAGACTTAGCATTTTAGAGTTTTATACCAATTGGGGTTAGAGGAAAACGAATAAAATTGCCCTTGTCCCTGTATGTGGAATTCTATAGCTAGTCTTACTTCTGGACAAAAGCAGTGAATTGTTTTTTATTTCATAGTTATCATCATACTGTGAAATGAAGTTTTTATTTTTGGTAATTTCCTCGCTATTCAGATACCGTCAGAATTAATTATGGTAAATGGTAGTTCAACCACAAGCTATATGATCTAGTTGTCTTGTCCTAGTCCATAAGCATTAGATATAGTAAATACAAGTTCTTTGTGTATGTTAGGGGTGTGCCAGATGCAGCCCTGAAGAAAAATTGTGCGTCCCTCTGAAAAGTGCCATATTTGAATGACATGTTCCCGTGTCACGAGATTTTATTTTTGTAATTCCAATTCTTTACGTTGCGAAGCCTATATCTGAGTCCAATTCATTATCAATGCCTATGACATTGCAATGGCCCAACAGCTAGCTCGTGCAAAGCGAACTACTCAAGTCATAAGATCAATAACCAAAATTTTTGTGCCTACAAGAAACTACAAGAAAGACTACTGTATGTATATAAAGCTGCAGCCGCAGTTTCACCCAGTTATTTCTATCTGGCCCTAAAGGTTGCGCATCCCTGAGGGAATGGCCGAATAAACAATCTAGTACCGGTTATTTAAATACATACTGAAATAGTATTTTTGAACATATTCCTAATGTTTAGTAAAGGACACGTTTCTTGGATATTTATTCGAATCAGATTGGACATTCCTGATACTCTATCATGTTGGTTTTATTCAGTAATAAAAATGTTTAAAGGGGTTTTGCTGATTTATTATTAGTATCATAGTAGAAGTATGTGTAGTGTACCAATATGGAGGTAACTAATGTTATTCGCCTACTTTACATCAAGTTGTGTAAAGAGAATGAAACCTATGGACAGGGGTATATTCACTTGGCTAACACAGACAGTCCCCGAACTCGTAATAAAACTAAGGAAAATTGGTTAAAATTATGGCCTGACCCTAACCTGGTGCACACACTACGGGAGTACTCACAATTGGACCCCATACCACTCATAGTGTAATAACTTGGTTACTAAGACTGGTTTTATACATTTGGAGTGAAAAAGTTTGCCGTCCCCCATATTGAAACAATTTCAGCATGATAATCAATTTTGCAAGATCACACATTCTTTATATCGAATTAGTTTGAAAAACACTTTAATGCATATCAAATTATTTATAAAGTTGAAACATATAAAAAAATATTTTACTGGAATAATAACTCAGTGGTATTTCTGCGTCAGATCTTTTAATAGTTTGTAAATACAGTATTGGCTTGGTCGCATAAATTGTTATAAAAATATTAACACATTCGTTTATATTATTATTAAATTTGTTTTATATAAAATATAGAATACACTTGAGCACATAGCCAAATTAATTTTGATGTGCAAGAGAATACAAAGTCACAAATTTTCAAAAATAATTTTGCTGGAACTCTTGATTTGTATATTGTCAGATGCTTTATATTAGGTACTACCGAAGTATGTGAACCAAGATAGCGGACACTGGAACATAGTTGTTTATTAAGGCCATAATTTTCCTTTTTTTAGTATTACAAGTTCGGGGACTAGCCAAGTGACTCCCGTAGTAATTGTACTTGAAATTATGGCCTAACCCTAACCTGGTACACATACTACGTTCTGGTGTCGGCCATCTTGGTCCACATACTTCGGTAGTACCTTATATTATACAGCACAGGCTTGGTTGAATGATTATAAAAATACTATTGGATATTGAATGGGATGTTGATATATATACAGCGGTGGTTGGCAATTAGAAGCTCAGAATTGTATAGATCTATTTACAGCAGAAGCAGGGAAGCTACGGAATAATTATACAATATATCATAAAAGTAATATATTAAAATGCATAAGAAACAACATTGAAACTTAGATTAATAATATATTTAGTTGTGGATAGCAATTAGCACCCAGGGTAAAAATATTTATACAGATAATCTATTCAGCGTAATTCATGAGCTCAACAACACAGGTTTGGGTTGGACATTTTTTAAATCAAACCATACTTGATTAATTAATTTTTGTTAAAGTACGAACCAATGGGCATTCGGGTATAACCTGTCACAAATTGTCAAAACACTTTTCAGATATCTTGACTAACTTAAAAATGCCAGTTTATTTAACATATTATAATTAATAAAGAAATTAATGCGAATACATAGCGTTTTGCTGATTGATTCCACCAAATTAAATATATTGGCAATACAATCATCCTATTAGCGTTGTGTTTAGACTCGACTATGTTGGCATGTCTGATTAAATAACCCAAGTTCAATCATATGCCCGCTACCTCACCCAGAGTGTTGTAGACTGTGGAAAAAACAGGAATATTTAGAGAATTATAAAAAAAATGCCTCAAAAATATTAAACTATATGATAGCAGTCACTGATATCGAACAATATGTGAGGAGCAACTATTTATTTGAAAGTTTCAAAATCTTTTCATTTTGCCTACTCAATCTAATAGACCATGGGAGAGGTGAGGGGGTGGAATTTAAACCTGCAATGTGTAATCAACGATGCCAGCGCAGTTAAGTCTTAAGCTTCAGCCGCCTAGGGCATTTTACTTATTTGTCAATTTGCCTTACACAAATGGCACAAATACAATTCTTAATATGAAACTTTGTTATTTGTAAAATTTGATCAAGAACATAATTTGCACAAGGGCTGCAATGGTAATATTGTTTTGGCATTTGATGTAGATTTAATGAAGCAAGTTCAGTATCCTATGCAGGGAACAGTACAATCAGTGTTGTAGGAAATCTTTCTGGATCTCGTCAACTTTGGAACCGCATGGAGGGAATCTGAGAAGTGGAAGAAAATTTTTACTGGGAGGAAAAGTGAAAATATAATTTTGATAAGAGGCGATAAGATAAAACTAGAATTTTATTAATCTATTCTCTAACTATAATACGGCAGCTTATTCAGACATAATCTGTTGAAGTCATGTTTTTGTTATATTTATTTATCTATCCAAGCTTGATATTTCCTACAAGCTACAGAGCTAATTTTTTTCACTGGTAAAATTGCAGTATCTATGAAAAATATTAGTCAATTACATATCATTGGATGCTTGCACAGAGCCTTGGCTGAAGGTAAAAACATGAAAACGTGGAATAAAAAAAACATTTATTCCTATATTATTCAAATCACCATATCCTACACACTGTTTTTTCATCACTTTAATAGTGAATTGTCAAGGAAACTAACAGGAAATCAAAAGAACTGGGTGGATGTAAAAGTGGGACCTTGAACCTATATTGTCAATAAAAACTGCCCAGCAGATAGAGTGTCTCATTGAAGATTGCGCTTTTGAATTTGCATTTTAAAAGCTTCAAAACCATGTTATTGTGACATCATATGTGACAGTAGAGCCGTCTATGATGTATTTAGGGCTGGGCTTTTCAAATCGAAATATTAGAATCTGAGAAAATTTTCATGTGAACAAGCAACCCTTATCTACCTTCGATACCAATGCAAGTTCATTACTCAATTCAGTTTCAAGTGATGATTACCCAACTTGTTATTTCAAGAATTTGAGACTATTCATACGGATGCATGTTGGGGAAAGTGGGCAAAGCAATATTTTGCCAGAGTGTCAAATGAATAGAATTATCTCACCCGTCCATCATTCTTGAATCCTTTTGCCTTCCAATGCTTCTTTCAGTTTCATTGTATGGTTTGGATCTGGATATCCATTGCTGAAATAAAAAAGAATTCATGAACTCTGTTTGAGCCTGTTCCTAGAAAAATAATGGAAATTTGGTAAGTTTTCTGTTGAACAATAACAGATTCTGCCCGGAGAGTATTGAAAAACAGAATTGGGTTCTAGGAATAAAAAAATTTCGGCGCTCCTGAAGCATGTGAATCAAGATGGTGGACACCGGAACGTGGTATGCGTACCAGGTTTGGGTGAGACCGTAATTTTATTGCAATTTACCTTATTTTAGTTCTATTACGAGTTCGGGGACTAGCCAAGTGACTCTGAAATTATAGCCTAACCCCAACCTGTTACACATACTATGTTCCTGTGTCCGCCATCTTGGTTCACATACTTTAGGAGTACTAAGATTTCGTCTGAGCAATCAAAAAAAAGTCATGATGGGGCTACAAACTATGGTTCGACAAACATTTAACTTTACCATAAGCGGCCATTTTAGTTTCTGTTAAAAAATTTGAGAAAACTTAATGTATGTCAGAAATTTCGACTTTTGCTTCAAAATTAAAACGTCTAAAATTAAAAAAAATATTTAAGAAAATATGACTCTAGTTTTGAACTCGATACCAAAAAAATGTCAAAATTAACTTCTCTCTCGGCTCCCGTCACAGATCCTTACAATATCAGATAAAATGAAAATCATGCTGACTCATAAAGTCATAGCAAATAATCTTCTGTACACGATGACCAGGCAGTTTTATTAACATAATTGGTCAGAGTGAATTATAAGAATACCATTGATTTGATAAGTCTGTCCGTTACTGCTTGTCTGGAGCCTTGCTCAGGGTGAAGTATAACAATACCATTGGTACCAATACCATAATTTAGATATCTAATCTATTTAATATATACAAGTCGTAGTCTTAATGGTTGAGTGGTTGTTTGGGATCTTTGGATCAGACCCTGGTAGTTTAGAAACAATAAAGTGCCTTTAAATGAGTAAATCATCTTCATATAGAGATAGATGAGTTCAGTTTTCTTCTGAGCAAAAACAAGAAAAAAACGACTTGATAAAACAAAATAACTTTTAGAAAGCAATTTTATCCAATATGCCTTTTATGCTTTGCAAAGCGTGAAAAATAAAATCAAATATCCATATTGGTGAAATTTATTCCCTGTAATTTTATTTAGCTGTTAAAATTGGACTCCCAAAAGAACTTTGTGTTGTAGTGCAATATGAAGGGATAATAAAATTTTTAAATTAGTTTTATTCCTTCCTATTTCCTAACATTTTATGAAGTAAGTAACCACCAAACATAAAACACACAAAGTACTTACTTCTCAGGTCCTCCAGTTTTATTAGTCTTATGAGGAAACTCATCGTTCCAAACAATTTTTCCTCTTCTGTCACCAACTTTCTGAATCTTGAAATTGGATCCTGCATCGAATGCTTGTATGAGTAAATTGTGACATATCCATCCATCACCAACATGCAATGGCAAATATTCAGTGAATTCTTGAGCTTCATATGAAGCCCCCTGAAGAAACAAACATAACTTATCATCTCCCATACCTGGGGGTTTGTTAAACTGATATAAATATCAGAATATCTATGAAAGTTTAGCAGAATTTGAAAATTTTCTAACAAAATACTTGGTGTTTCTAATAGATTAATTCAACTTGACAACCCAACAACTTAATTAAACACTGAAATCAGAAATTATAAGGAAGCCCGCTAAATATTTAGCTTGTCGTGATTTTACTGCACCATTGAATCAAATTCTAAACTAAACATAGAAGAACTAAATTCTATGAACAAATTAAATTTAAACAAACCATGAGTTTAATATTACTCAAGTTTCAACAAGCATGATCTATATATGGCTATTTTAGGATTTTACTGCACAAATGGCTTCTATATTCCAACTTTTTCTCAATAACAAACCTTTTAAAGCTTTGATTTCCATTAGAACTGAATTCAATCAGCATAGCAGTTTAAATTAATTATAGATGGACAAAGCATGAACCAGAGTCAACCCATATAAGCATTATACAAAATACTGCCTGATTCTGTATATTTCTATGAGAAGCAATAACTCATGTGAGTGAATGCAAACATTTAGCAATACTTCTTTCAAGCTTCTGGACTGTGCCATGGCCTAACGCAGTGGTTACCAAAGGGTGTACCGCGGTGCACTAGTGTTACGCAACAATAGAGATGGACACTGCTTGCTGCAATTTTCCGAGCTGCAGTTTATTTATCAGTTGAACAGAGTTTGTTTAGAGTTTCAAAATAAAATCAGGCAGAGAAAAGTTGACATTAGGCCTATATGTTTACAAACATGAAGTACACATTAATGATCACAATATTGAATTTTATTCAAATTTTTTCCATTAATGCGTCGATAGCAGTTTTTTCCCTAATAATTCAGCGCTGCACAAACAAAAATATTTGAAACCGTTGGCCTAATGGTTGAAGTGTTGGACTGAACTAAGCTGACATCACATATTAAACATCTCGGTTTGAATCCAAGCCAACCACCTCACCCAGGATGAAATAAATTGGATAGGAAATGCAGAACCAGAAAATTCGAAATAATAATATCTCCTTAAATATCATTAGATATCAGTGTCTGATAGTTTAATTTCATTCAATATAAGATATGACAGATTTAACATATTTATCCCGGGGAGAGAAAAGCCAATAAGACGACTTAATCAAGTGGTGAACCACAGCCTCTTGTCCGGTTACCAGTCTATAACACGTAAGAGATTGTTTAGCCAGTTATTCGTTTTCGAAAGCATGGACTTGATGATGGAGGAGGCTGTAACAGACCAGTGGTTACGTGAACCACCCTACTAAATATTTGTGGCTGCTTGTACAGGGCCTTGTTCCGAGCTAAAGGCATGAATAAGCATTGCATAAAAAAGTAACATGACAGTACTATTATAAGGGATGTCTTTGCCATTATATCAAAATCCCCATATTTGGAGCATTTATGAAATCGAAGGGTACGACAGAAAATTTTCTATTTTCCATCCATGTTTTTGTTTACATCATGTTGTACTTAGTAAATTTTGACATATATAATATAATGATTTTGCTTTTCAATTGACAATAAGATATTGTGACCCTTCAATGAATCGATTCAAGAAATTCACAATAACAATAATTGTACCAAAGAATTCTAGGCAAACTATCAGGTTATGGGCATCCCTAAATATTACTTTTACCAAATTGTAATTTTCCATTTATTGCACTGGTATTTGTTTCAGGAAATATATTTTAATTGATCGATGTTCAAATTTACTAATGTGCAATGGGGATTGATATTAAGAACCAAAACCTTATTAATTAAGAATCTTGATTCCAGTAAATCTGTAATTTATTTTCCAACCAACAATTAAATTTGTTTCCTAACTCACCTTCAGACTTCCAGCAGGAAATGAGTAGGTGATGACAATAGTCCTCCATCTTTCATACCCTGGCAGTGATTCTCGAAACCAATTCCATGACGTCCTCCCACCAGATGGTTGTTGGTTGATGATTCTTAGATCAGAAGTAGTTTGACTTGATGACTGAGATTCTGCACCTGGATAAATAAAATCAAAACTTTTAGCAAAAATAATGTTTGTTCCCATTTAAGCAAAAATGCTTGTGATTGAGGGGTTCAATGATATTTATAAGGTACCAAGATATGTAAAAATTATAAATTGAAAGAATGAAAATTATGGTACCTAGATGTAATTGAGCTTTTTTGTGGTTATTTGAGTTTTGGGACAATGCCATGGTCTAGTGCAGGGAGGTCCAAGTTTGTCGGCCTCGCGGGTCACACTATTACTTTTGTATTGTTCACGGGCCACAATAGTGCCAAGAATAGGTCAACAGTGCAATACAAAACAAACACTTTTATCGTCCAAGCACATTGATCAATATTTGTCATTTATCAAGCTAAAACATGCAAAACCACCAAAAAAACTCACTAAAATGTGCAACAATCTTACAATATCTACATTTAGTGTGAGATTTCAAACTCTTCATAACAGAGAAAATGCCGTTTTAGATTGTCACCGACACAACTTGCACACATATCAAGCAAGCATTGGGTTATTTCCTCTCCTATATTCAGTCAGAAATCTGTTTGAATTGGTCAGATTTCTTTTCAAACTCATGTTTACAAAAAAACTTACAACTAACTGCAGATTACCTGATTACCGAACTTTATTCCAAATTTGAGATACAGGAGGGTAATACCTAACTTTTCTGACATTTTTTGTAATACTGTTTAGGCTGGTTGCGATAAACCACCCGGCAGGAATTATATTGTCCGGCCATAAAATTAATATTTATTTATCTAGGTTGATAGATTCCTCATTAGATTTTTAATTTTCTATTGAGCCTATTTTGTTCCTGACCAAAAACATAGAAAGCCAGTTAACAATTTAGACTAGTCAAGCACATTATCCAACTTCGCCAGTTGCCTCAGCTAGCCATAACACTAGTCAGTTCAGTGACACTAGTGATGTAACAATATGTTGAAAATTTTTTTTGGTTATTTTTTGGATGAAACAACACCAAATGCAATTTTTTCTCCCCTCCCGCAAATGCGACGCGGGCAAGAGATAATGAAATAGGCCCTGGCGGTTTGGACCACCCTGGTCTGGTGGTTAGAGCGCTAAATTTAACTGTGAGATGGCATTACAGATTACACATCAATGGTTCAAACATGTTAGGTAGGCAATGCCTCACAAAAAAATATATGTTTTTTCTAAATAAAGTGATGATGAATGCATATGCAAAATTTGGAGCAGATTCAACCTCGCCTTCGTGAGATATCGCGTTCATCTAACAGACAAACAAACAAACAGACAAATACCTATCAACCTACTTACCGATCTTAAGATCGATAAGTAACAACACTGACATGGACAACTTCAAATATGCCGAGTCATGAATTCATTCAATAACATATGCCTGTATCAGAAGGCATCAGTTGGACAAAATATTATAAAATTCACTGTCATTGATGAATGGGAGTATTTGGCTGGTCAATATAATATTGAAAGCCTTTTCGTGGAGTGCATTAATAAACAGTGCAACTGCACTTGATTTAGAGCAGGGGTGGGCAAATTATGGCCCACAGAAGTGTTTCATCCAGCACAAATCAGCACAGCAGTCTCCTATGAGGACTCACCCTGGATTTTCAAAAAGGGGTGGGTTCAAAAAATCGAGATCAAAAATTTCCATGCAACGGCTTTAAAAAAGGCGACACTTTTTAAAATAGACTTTTTCAGTGGATCAGGATTTTTCTGTTGTGTGAAATATTTAATCCGTGGCTGATACGGCCATTTAAAATGTCCTATCGAATTATTTTGATTCTGTTCATCGTAACTAGCCTTTGTGCCGACTAAGATAAAATAAAACCATTACTAATCTACAGAGATGAAATACACGATAAACTATTAACCGGATTATAAATAGGTATGCTAATACACAAATTCATATTCAGATTTATATTTACTGTGTCTATTTGTATTTCCACTCATTTGTGTGGATATGAGCCTGAAAGGTATGCTGTAATAAAAAATGGATCAAAACTTGACCAATTCGAAAACAAATATTAACAGGAGAAATTTCTCATTAAAATTTACCTTGACACTTGACTTCAGCAGTCTTTTGAGAAATGGACTTGTTTGCACTAGCAAGCTGGTTTGTTGCAGAGATATTGGAAGGCTGAGCAAAATCTAAAAAAAAGAGTGAAAATTATTGATATTGACTAACTTTTTCAAACACTCATGACAGTAAATGTTCAACTGAAGACCCCAAGCTGGGAATTGGGATACTAGACAAACCATAGTTTCATGGTTTAGATGGGAAATCAAACAATAATAATACGTCTAGTATGGTAGAATAAGATTTATATATTCAACCTGCGGGAGAGGAAAGTGAATGAGACGGCCTAATCATATGACAAACCATGGCCGCTCGTCCGGTTAACAGTCCATGTTGGGTAGGGATTAGTTTTCAGCCAGCTATTTATTTTCAGATGCATGGACTTGATGGTGTACCCAAACAGCGGTAACGTGAACCACCCTACAAGGAGTCCAGCAATCTTATTGCACATAATTAACTCGCAAGGAATACAATCCTGCGAACCCATGCATGGTAATCAGAGATGTGAAGGTGAGCGTATTCCTAATGCTTAGCCACATCACCAAGCCAATTAGCAGTCTCTTCTGCATAAGCCGGCAATTACCAATAACAATTTAGAAATCTAGAAAACCTTTTTTTTTCAGTTTTGAGCTTTTCAATCTCAATTTTCATTTTCCTCTTTTCTTCTTGCACCCGCTTCATTTCCTTTTCGTGCTCTCTCCGCATTCTCTCCGACAGAAAGAACCCCAAAACAATCAAGAAAGCTGCTAAAATTTACCGTTCATTTTCTTTCTAAGCTTTTCCATCTCTTTCATCATTTCCCTCTTTTCTTGTTCATTTTT